ATTGTATTATTTAATTTATAATAGTTTACATTGTCTACATGAAAAGAATTTGTATAAATTTAATAAACAATATATAGATAATCCATGAAAATGTATAATTTTGAAATATATGTATATATACAATCTTAGCTTTAGAAGTAATTGTGCAGAACAATTTTGATATTAAATGGTTTACATGTGGCTTAATAAATAGGAACAATAAATAACAAGAGCAAATAGTCTTACACAATAGCTAGTGATATATTTAAAATTTGTTCGTTAACAATATAAAATAATCATATACGTTTTCATCACGATTTGGCCATCCTCAACATATAAAAATAAAAATTAATATAAATCATAAATTTCGGTATAATATAAAAGTGCATTATTAAGATCAATTATTAAGATCATAGTTGTTTGTATATAAAAAATATAGTCATATACTTTACATGAATGATTAAATTTATAAATTTACAAAAAAATAATAAATATAATTTTTTTAAATTATGAATTTAATCGTTCGTGTAAAGCATATATAACAACTATAATATCTATCTTAACTGATAATAATGTGCTTTTATCAAAATTTATAATTTATATTAATTTTTATTTTTTACATATTGAGGATGGCCAAATCGTGGCCGAAACGTATATGAATTTACATTATTAATGAACAAATTTTTAATGGTGTATTAAATTATGACTTTCAATATCACACAATATCCTATGTGTGGTTGTTTGCTCTTGTTATTTATTGTTTTAATTTTATTTTTTTAAATTTTATGTCATTTTCAAAAATAAAACAATTAAAAATTTAAACGATATTAAAATGTACTTATAACTTTATTTTTTGGCTTTTCATATGGTAACAGATATGTTGACATTTACCGACATTCAAGAGATATATCGGATTCTCTTACAGTAGGATAGGAATGAGTGGCAGGATTCTATTACAATGCTTTGCCACGATAAAAGGCTGAACTATTGTAATAGGCATGAAAAGTGACGATTTTGACAACGAAATTTATGTTGCGATTTCGTTATTATTTACTTAATCATGAAAATGTGACTTGTCTCGTACTTATCAAAGTCGTAATTATCGATGAAAGCTAAAGTTATCTTGGAATTTTATATGTAAAAACGTACATTATTCATACGTTATTCGTTTCAGTGGATATAATAGCTATCGGACCATGTGTTTCTGTCCGAATATAGGCTAACTTTAGTGCCTTTTACGATCATTTACTGACTATCAAGGAAGGGAAGGACAGTTTTCATCGATTTTTACAAGTATTTTAAAGTAATCTCGTCATTTCGTCCAGATTTTCATCCAGATTTATTTAAAAATTTATTTCTTCGTCTTCTCTCGTCTTTATTTAAAAATGGTACGCAACATAAATTAACATGTCATTCCTCGCTTCTGACGTCACGATTTCAACATGGCCGCCGCGACTAGTCAGGAGCCTTAAGTGTGTAGCTACCGGTTTCGCCAGACCGCTGTCTGATTCTGTGTCGCTGTCAACGCAGAGTTCTTAGCTAAGTAGTCAGGAGCTTTAATTTCACATTTTTTTAACGCAATGTTTATTGCGTAAAAAATAACGTCTTTATCTTTTATAAAATAATATCTTTACCTTTTTTATGTTTCTAAAACGTTGCTAGATTATCTTTATATTATGATGTAATTTTTTATAGAATTTTCTAAAGTAATTAAATCCTTTTATATATAGTATATCAATATAAATAAATATATATGTATATATAAATTATAATTTTCTTTA